CTCTGCTAGTTGTATGGCTGTGATATCTAAGGGAAGGAGTGGTGAAGGAGTGAATTATCACTGGTCCCTTCTCAGTAGCATTATTATGCTGAAAAAAAAATTAATTGAAGTTCCCTAATTTGGAGATGCAGTTAACTCATGTACTGAGACTCTGCATCATACAGGGTTCAAGCATAGGCCCTTGATATACAGATCTCTGACTAAGGGAGGGGTTTATTCATAGTTTGGGTAGTCCATGTCATGATTTACAAGGCGGGCTATTGCTGTAGCACAGTTGGGACTTAAGTGACTTGTGTTTTGTTTGCTTTAACTGTGTCCATTCAGTTTCCTAAATGGAGCTCAAGTCTTTTTTTTTTCTTTTCTTTAATCAGAGAAGTAAAGTGAAATAGAAGCCACCTGGTGCAGAGCTGCAGTGTGGGCTCGTGGAAATGGCCTTTCCGGCTTTTTCTTTCCTAGCTGGATGGCTTTGGGTTAATCTCTCATCCTTTCTGTACCTGACCTTCATGAACTAAAAGTATGGCAAGGAAGACAGTAATGGTGTGCAGGTTCAAGGAATATTGTAAGGATGGACTGAATGAGTGTATGTGAGTGCCTAGTAGATTAGCACACATCATTATAGGCTAAACAATCACTTACATTCATTTCTTACATTCCTGTGACTCAAAGGACACTTCTTCCCTCAAATGTAAAGCCAATCTTTGCTGGCTTTCATCTAAAGCCGGCAAATTAGTACAGAGAGGAGAGGGGAATCAAAGTAAATTTGGCCCTTAATTGCCTTAATTTTTGATTTGCAATTCAATTCATTTGCCACTAGAATGGGCTTCCTCCGTGGCTCAGCAGTAAAGAATCTGCCTGTCAATGCAGAAGATGTAGGCTTGATCCCTGGGTCGGAAGATCCCCTGGAGAAGGAAATGGCAACTCACTGTAATATTCTTGCCCGGGAAATCTCATATACAGAGGAGCCTGCTGACTTACAGACCATGGGGTCATAAAGAGTCAGGCACGACTGAGTGACTAAACAATAATCTTAGAATAGTTAGCCACTGGCTACTTTGGTCAAAGCACTCAACTTCTTCATACACAAAATAAATACAGTGTCACCATTCTATTTCACCATAAGTTGGTAGCAATGATAAATGAATTGAGTACTAGAATGTTTTGAGGCCAAATGAAAGTATTACGATTAGTGACATTAATAATTATTTTCTGATAATTGCTGCTTATCTTTTGGCTTTAGCAAAACTTGATTAGAGATTGAATTTTGATGTTAAACCCAAGAAAATAATCTCTCAATCTGGAATTTGGCCAGGTTACCATGCTGAGCAACAGTTTCAAAGAAAAAGAAATTGGGATTTTTAATGAGCTTTGAAATTTATCTGAAAGGTGGGCTGAAAGCTACAAAAGACATGGTATTAGGCAGCTCATTCAGGATACAACCTAGTGATAATATCTTTCTTCTCTACTGTGATTAGCCAGAAAAATAATCTTTCATTAACTCTTCCCTGATCTCCTTTGAGGAAATACTCCAAGGTCAGTTGTTACCCAATCATAATGTCCCTAGGATAATTGACTGGTATTTTCAAATTTGATTAAGTCAATGGGACAAGTAAATCAATTCAATGCAAGAGACAGGGCAACCACTCATTTTTCTTGCCAAGCTATCAGCCAGATTTTATAAGAGATAATTCAGAATAGGGTTATGGCGATGCTTCTTTTCAATCCGATTACTAAAGCATCATGACTTGATTGTTATCTAGAAATGAAGCCCGCCTACTGTACTCTTTAAATGGGAACCATGGCTGAATTTTGTGGAAATAACACCTTGCATTGTATAGAATATGGCCTCTACCAATTGTTACTCTAATATTGTTCAGGCTTTAGAAATCTTCTGCCAAGTTTAAACGCTGTGGCAATAAGGAAAGAAAGAGGCTCTGGGAAAGAGGAAATGAAATTAGCTGAATAAATCCTAATTTGGAAGGGAGAAAAATGACAAATGGCAGAAAAATGCAAATGGCAGAGAGGCAAATAGTTTGCTCTAATATCTTTGTCTTCTGATAATATTTTTGAACCAAGATTATATATGGACAGCTAAAGTTGAAAGATGAGTAATAAAAATATCTTGAATCCTACTGGAATATCATGTTATATATTATTTTTTTTCCCATCCTTGGGGAAACAAACAAAAATTACATTAATTGCCACAAAAGAAAACCCAATCCCATTACATCTAAGTGAACGTATACAACCACATGCACTCCAAACTACTTCTTGTTCTCACCCATCCCTATGGAACTCTTGGTTTTTCAGGGGAGATCCCTTTTTTGGGTGATGAAGGAGACTGTGCCTACAATCCTTAGCAATGATTTCCTGACTGCTGTGCAGCATTAGTCATGCATCCTCCTCATGCCCATAAATGGAGGACAAGCCTACACTGATGCTATCAGACGAATTTAAACAAGGCCTGTTCTGAGAGAACCCTCAGAGCCAGACTGACAACACTCCTGCAGCAAACCCATCTTCAATAGAAGTGTGTTTTGTTTCATCTTACACTTGGGCACACACTACTAATAGAGGCATAGAACAACTTGGGATCGCGGGGATCGCTGTGCATACCTAGGGCTTGGAGCAGGCCTTCCGTTGTGGTGTTAAGCTGGGGTGTTGCTCTGTAAGCCAAAGTTTAAGTCCTATACTCAGTGCTAAGAAGAGATTGTATTTCTTTTGATGAAGAGTTTCCTCTTCATCTTTGATTAGAGCAGGCATTCATTTATTTATTTATTCATTTATTCGTTTATTTCCAAACATCCAGGTGCCTACCTGAGGGCCAGGTATTGGGCTTCAGGCTGAGCAACCCTTGTGAGAGAAAAATGCAAGCGATTTTCACCATTCAGCCAAGCCAATAAAATCAGCTAATTTTAAAGCAGCTTTACATTTTACTGTCTAACTCACTTATTTATGCCCTAGGAAGGCAGTATGATGTGGTAGAGGGAGCAATGGACCAATAATTAGAAATCCTGGTGTAAGTTCCAGTTCTACCACAAAGAGACTGCGTGACTGTGGGGCAGTTTACTTAACCTCTCTGGGCCTCACTCTCCTTTTTTGAAAATATGAGTGGGTTGGACTTAAGATTCCTTCCATCTCTAAAATTCTTTTATTCCATACGGTAACACATTCCACAAAGTTTCTTTTGTGACCAGAATTAGTTGGTGAATTCCCAGCTCAAGTTTCCCTTTTGCTCTCTTTTATTGTTAAACCAAATATGAACAAGAAGTAATAATATTTTGTCACAGCCAACAAATTGCCCTTCCACTGAATGACCTTTGGAGGTCAGGCCACCCATCACAACATCTAAATCCAAAGGCAATGGTATGATCAACTTGTGAGCTGGCGGGCTGCCATCCAAAAGTATGGAAATGGTTGTAGCCAGCCAAAATTCTTGGCTGGTACATTTTTAATAAACATAGAAAATAAGAACAGCATTTTCCACTTGGATTGCTTAATTTGGTGCCCATACCATCGGAACACTTGCTGGAAGGATAAAGATGATGTGATATATCACTTATTTAGCGCAGGATGGATTAACTTGCACAAATGAGAAGTAGGTTATGGAGTCATCTGTAAGGCATTTTTATCCTTGCCTCTTGTCTCTGGCAAGAGACAGCTTGAGTCATTACAGCAACATCTCCACCCCTTTTGGCCCTTTGTGAGAGTTTTCCCTGAACATAAGCTCTGCTGGATTTACTGTATTGCTATGAATGGACTAAGGCAAATTGGTGTGAATTCTTTGTGGTCGAATACCTCTTCTTAATATTTTTGCAAGATGGTTCAACATGTCTTATTATTACTTTTCCAAGAAAAAAACCTCCACAGCAAATGTTCTCTGGTTAATTTGGAGAATATCTGAGGTGCATGTGTTTTAATTACGTAAATGACAGTGAGTACTTAGGACAATGAGCCTCATAGTTAGTAGCTCTGGTTTTTAATTGTGGTGATTGCACAAACTCATCCAGTTCTTGGATTCTGTATTTCTGTCTCTACTTGTAGTGTGGCAGCAAGGACATTTGAGAGGCAAGACTGTTTTCTCTGCAGTGCTTGGAGATCCCTGAATAAAATACACTGTGATAGTTAAGATGTAATTAGACATGTGGGTGGAAATTAGTGTTCAAGCACACCAAGTCTAAGCCGAGTCACTGTGCCTTTTTACTACCCGAGGCCACCCTGGTCCTGTGCCATAACTCCAGGTCACTGAGTATACAGGGCTGTTGGTTAGAGGCTGCAGGTTCCAAAAAGAAAATAAATAACTTGGTATTGAATCTGAAACCGGGAAGCTTTTTATAGTAAAAACTGGGCCACACAGTTCTATTATAGACAAGTCAGGCATTCACCAAGTATGACTATAACCTGTTCACTTTTCTTTTGGAAGTGTACATGATCTCAATTATCAAAACTATAATTTGAATTGTACCTCCATCTTATAAAACACCAAAACTTTCTACTAGATTTCCGGAGTCATGGCAGGTCCTCCATTTTGGATTAGATTCTCCAGTCATACGGACCCAGTAGCAACAGACCTTTTCCTTCTCAGTCATCTTAAAAAACACACACTTCTCCGTGGGACTACAAAAGGCCTGCAATTTGTCCAGTTTAATTTTTCATTTGATTTTTGGATTTGCTTCTGGATACCTAAAAACTCCCACTACTATAAATCCTGGCTTTCTGGATGGACTCCCCCCTCCCCCAACGCCACTGACTTAAATGAGTTTGCTTCGCCAGCGTTTTACATTTTACCTTTTAAACGTGATTTCAAGACCAAACCAATGATGGAAAATTAATAACCATCATTACATCATTAGTATCCCCCCATGGTCCCCCTGCACCCCCATACCGAGTCTCCCACCCTTTATCCCCCTGTTGCGGCCGGAATTCCCTTTTCGCTAATGACGACAGAAAGCGGTTTCCCGAGCTGCGTTTCTCTTCTTGCACTCGTGCTGCTGCTGCACACGATGCCTCGCGCGTCTCCCGGTGACTGCGTTTCCCCGCGAGTTGGCCGCGTTCTTTCGGGGATGAAGTCATCCCTATACATGGTGTGCCTATTAGCTCGTTACATTGGTACAGCACACTGGGATTCCTCGGAAAGAAAAGGAGCGACGCGAACAATGATGACCATATTTTACATGTATACGCCACCCCTCCCCCCAGCCTGGAGGAATCGCCGGGAGCCGCGCGCGGCGGGGGCGGGCTGTGGGGCTGGCCGGGATGCCCAACGACTGGCAGGTCCGGGTCGTGAGATACAGCAACAGGGCGAGCTGAGGACAAGCCCCGCGCGAGGGCACCCGGACGGGCAGATCCGGAGTCCCTCCGGCCCGGCCCGGCCCAGTGCCCAGTCTCACGCATCCCGATCGCCGCCTCCCGGCTCCCCACGCCTGTGCCGGCAGGTCCCGCACCGGGAGGTCCTGGCGCCCCAGTCTGGGCACTCAGCGCTCCGGCGCGGGGGAGGCCCGAGAGCTCCCCCAGGGTCAGGGGAGCGGGAGTAGACTAGGGCCGGGGTGGGGGGGGCGATGGCCAAGGACAACCCGGGGCGGGGGTGTGGGCAGCCCTGATCCCAGGGGGCCGGGGAGCGGGGGCGGGGGCGGGGTGGGAAAGCAACAAAGAGCCTCTGCTAACCCGCCGTCGCCGAGCCCGCTCCCGCCCCTCGCGGCTGCCCGCAGGCCGGCAGGGTCCCGGGCCGGCGGCGCGGCGCGGGGAGCCCGGCCCCCGTCTCCCCTCCCCCCCCCGCACCGCCCCCTCGCCCTCGGGGGAAGGAGGGGAGGAAGGCGGCGCCTGCGTGCTCCTCCGCCGCGCGCCCCGCCTCCTCCCGGGCTCCTCGCGGCGAGCCGACTCTCCTCCCGCGGCTGCCGCAGCTGCCGGTTGCACACGGCCTCGGCGGCGGGCGCGGCGGGGCGCGAGCCTGTGGAGCGGCGGCCGGGCGCGCGGCCCCGGCGGGCACCCCTCCGAGGGCGGCCGAAGAAGCTCCCGGGGGAGGAGGAGGAGGAGGAGGAGGAGGAGGAGGTGGGGGGCTGCGGCGGCCGCGGGACCCACACTCGGCGCCTCGGCCTCTCCGCCCCCTCCCCAGCTTTTCTTTCGCCCGCTCCTCTCCCGCTCCGGACCGGCGCCTCGGCTTTGTGCGAGGAGATGGTGTAGCCCCGCGGCCGCCTGGAGGAGGAGCTGGACACTTGTCTGCCGGCCCCGAGCTGCGTCCCCGCCCCTGGAGGAGAGACCCCCCCCGCTCGGCTCGGCGCCTCCCGCGTCTCCCGGCTGCTGGGGAAGCCTCGGCGCGGCCGGCACCATGAGGTGAGGGGCGCGCGGGGCGGGGGCCGGCGGGCCATTGTGCCGCGGGAGCCGCGACCCCTCTCTCTCTTTCCCGGACCCCGCCTTCCCTCTCCCGGCCCGGCGCGTCTCCCGGGTCTCCGGTCTCTACTCCCCCCTCCCCCTTTGTCCCTCTCATTTCTCTTTCTTTCTTGTAATCCTCCCCAGCCCCTCTTATTGGGGAGGGGGGGGGCTCCTCTTTTCGACGTTCTCCCGTTTTTCCTCAAATGCTCCTCTTGCGCCCAGGATTTCCCTTCCTAAATTTAATGTGCTCCTGGCTCCCTCCCCCCCAGCCCTTGCGAGACAAACCTGGGAGATGGGGAGGGGTTCGAGAATCGAAGCGTGCTTGTTGCTGGGAAACAGGTATTTTTCCGTCTCTCTGTAAAAATTTCGTTCACTTTTGTAACAAAACTCTCGTGTTTAACTAAAAAAAAAAGAGATAAAAGTTTGAAAGACCTGAAATTTCTGTGGGGAATAAAGTGCTCTGGTAGTGGTAGGTGAAAGAGCTCAGAAAGGTGAAATTTCACGGTGGTGGGGGAAGGGAAAGAATTTATTACGTTAAGATTGTGGGGGGGAACACAGTGAAAGACTGCGATAAGTAAGTTATTCGGGGTGTGTAAGCGGGGGCGGGGGAGGGATTTGTTTGGAAAACCCTTTTCTCTTCTTCGTCTAGCAGCCTGTGTTGCATTGCAGCAGCTGCCTTTTTCCTTTTTCTCTCTAATCAATAAAACAGAAGCTAAATTATTTTTTCAGCCCCAGAGAATTGAATGTACCGTCGTAAAATGTTACTTTAATTGATACGATGAAACATATGGTGTGATATTTTTCGTGTTTGTTTCTCCAATTGTGTTAGAGAATAAACCATGATGTGGTGTGTCATTCATTGGAGATTTTTTTTCAGCCTTTGCTGTGTTTTGTGTCCATAACCTCCTCTTTTCGGATTGGTGCAAGACTTCGTGAGAAATGGGACTTGGTAGACTGAAGGCTGATCCATTCTGCGTTATCATCCTTAAGGCCTTCCTTTTAGGTTAAACAATTGTGGATAAAAGTAAATTACTCCATTTCTGTCTTCTAAAAGAGATAGTCTTACAGTTCGTTCGGATTTGGATCTCCTTTGTGTTAAAAGATTAATGGCTAACCGTTGCCAAGACCCTTATAATGTAATACAATGAGATTTGAATGATATAATCTACACATTCCTGCGTTTTGGCAAGAAAATGTCATGTCATTGGAATTCTTTCTCAATTTAAGTAGTTTCCACTTTAAACTTTTTTTTTCCTATCAAGATTGAACACTACTTTCCCATTTTGGTTTTTATTTATATATAGATATATATATTTGTGATATAGTTTTCAGCTTATTGTGAATTTGAATTGTTTATCTCTGATTCAAGATATGGAGCTTTATTTGAAGGCTTTAAAATTTGTTTTTAATGCTGTGTCTCTAAATGACCCCTTTTCCTTTGTGATTTCACAAGCAAGTTATTTTCAAGTATAGATAGTGCAAAATGTAATTATGGCATACTTTGTAAAATATGGCTTGAAAAACTTGAGCCATGCCTTTGAACATAGTTTTTTTTTTTTTTTGAATCAAGTTATTGATGTCCTTGAAAACTCTGGAACTATAATAAAGCATTGTTAATGTTAAGTCTTGTAATAAATTATATTGATTTCTGCTGTAACTTTTAATGCTTATAGGGGTCTTGGAGACCAGAATGTATCAAGTTTTTCCAAACTTTGGGTAAACTTTTCCCAACATTGAAAAATGTAAAACAATGAAAGTGAGTTATTTTAAAATGAAATTATTGTAAAGTTGTCAGATTCAAAGACTGTGAACCAAAAAGAAAAGAAAAAACTTAAAAATTAAAAAATATTTAGTGGTTTGATCACTATCATGTATAGTTATCAACCTGTCAAAGGTAAATTATATCTTAACTTAAAAATTCCTTTTCTAATAAGAAGTAATTTGTAACTTTTAAGCTGTTTTCCTGCTCTGCTCTGTTCCTTATTAAATGTAGAAAGGGGGGAATCACACCGATGCTTCCCAGTAGCTTAAATATAGAACATGCTACACAGGTCTGAAAAGTTTGTTAAAGTAGTCTACAGTAATTCTTTGTAGGCTAATTGTGAATAATTTAAAAGCAGAAAAGAGGATCAGCTTTTCACTTTGGAAGGCATTGGATTATTTGGCAGGTGGTTTGTGCGACTCATATGTATTCATGTTTCCTTAGATACCTGTAAAAGCAGGATTGTCTGGTAAGGAAGTAAAAAGTGCTGGTTGCAAAAAGCTCTGGCATATTTTGGTGCGTAAGAAATGGCTTTTTAGGTTATATTCATATTGATTTGGTCTCGATGCTTTCCAGTATGCTAGGACATAAATAAATGTTACACTATTAAATTGAGTCTCTCTAATTATGAGGAGTTCTGATGCTTTAAAGGCCATCCAGAAATAGGAGTGTATGGGTAGGAAATTTCCACTTAAATAATAATAATTCTGAAGAGGGGCTGTGATAAACATGTTGCAGTTTAGGCATTTGTGAGAAGATCTCTCAGATGACTTCAGTTTCAGCAATGGCACTCACTGGTATAATGTAATAACTCCTTTGCAGAAGGGAATGGAATAATACCTTGTGCTTAGTTGCTCAGTCATGTCCAGCTTTCTGAGATCCTGTTCCTGAAGCAATCTTAATGGCATTCTACACATTTAAAAAGCTGTTTATAGAATTACTTCTTAGTACTTTTTTAAAAAACAGATGGGAATTAAAATGAGAACATGTATTTCTTATACAAAACAGTGAGAGGGTTGAGACCTAAAAAACTGATACTTTTGTTAGTGGAACACCCAACTTTTTGTTCTATTCTTATTTTTCATTTATGTAATGATTGAAAATTATAAGATGATTTGTGATAGAGGTAGGGGATTATGTGTAATATTAATATAGCATATACCTTTTAAATGATTACATTTTTGCTTAGTTTGTTAGTTACTCAAATTTTTTTTTTTTGATAGAAAGAGAAGCTTGTCTGATATAAGATAGTTGCATGTAGCTTAGTGGCTAAGAAGAGCTCAGAAGATTTCGGATTGACATTCTTAGATCTGTATTAAATAGTCCAGGATTCCACTCACTCTTCTGTGACGTTCTCATGGAAAAAAGGTGCAGTTGAGTTGTGAGGATTCAGCCAAGTCATTTATTAGCCGGATGACCTTGAGCTGATCACTTTATTTCACTGATCTATATTTAAAAATATGTAAAAATAGGGATAGTTGTTTACTGGGTATTAAGGATCAAATGATAATATCGACTAGAAGAGAGTGTGTATTGTGTACTTGTAAACCTTATACAGTTACATCGCCCATCTTGTTTTAGGGCTTAGTTCTGTAAGGTAAACCTTTTGGTTAGTTTGTTTCCCCTCATCTAGTTCAAGGATGGCAAGCAGGTTGTGTTTTGCTTATCTACTCCCAGTTGATAGTGGCTGCCATATTGATAAAGGGCATAGCTGCATTTCTGGGTTTTGTGAAAAAGGGCCCTGATGTTTGATTGGGATGAGGGTTGTATAGAATGGCAATAAAGTGTTTCCTGGTATGCGCCTTATTTACCCATCTGTGATCTAGTCCAGTCTTCTTCTTTTATAGGTGAGGAAACCGATCTTTGTTTCCTTTCCTTGTGTATATTTAGTCTTTGAAGCAGTTATTGTGACTTTGTTACCTTCATTTATAGTAATCTTAAATTTAATACACATTTTAAGAGTGTGGCATAGCTAAAGTTCAGGAGATCCAGGTTTTATATGCTGACTTGTTAATGGAGAAAACTGACAAATATGGAGATTATTCTATTTCAAGGATTGTTGTGTCAACTGTCAAGTGAGAGCCCCTGAAAGGATAATAATAGTAGTCTCTATTCCCATGGATCTTGCTTTATGCTTGTAGATTTTGGTTGTGTGGCTTTCTTACAGAGGTTCATTTTAGGGGCAGGAGCCAAATTTTCATTTTTTAGAGTGTCAGTGCTTTGTATTTAGGCATTGTTTTGCCTTGTAGGTATTAAGGAATACATCATGAATAAGAATGTGGATTAATGAAGAAAAGGTACTGGTTTTTACAGCGGTCAAGGTTTTCAGTTAGTCCAGTTGGAATAACTGAAATAACTGGCGGGCCCATTTGGCTGGTATAGAAGAAATTACTTACTCAACTGACAGCTTTGGTTACTTATCTTTTTGGTTACACAGCTTAAATCTGAGGTGACTGTATAACTTGTGAAACTCCCAGTCTTTTTTTTTTTTTTAACGTCCCCTTCCTCTTGAGCCTCCCTTGCCATCCCACCCATCTAGGTTGTTAACACAGCTCTGATTGAGTTTCCAGAGTTATAGGGCAAATCCCCATTGGCTATCTACTTTACACATGGTAATAGATGTTTCCATGTTACTCTCTCCCTGCATCCCACCCTTTCCACCCCCACCCTTGTGCATAAATCTGTTCTCTTTGTCTAACACCCAGTCTTTATCATAAGTCTAAGAAGGGTTTGGGAAAATGCGATTTCAATTTTTATGCAGTTGTTGGGGAGGAAGAAGACTTCAGTTCTTCCCATGCCCTTCTCTCCTTTCTCTGAATTGATGGATGAAACTGAGTGGAAGTAAAAGTCAGAGAGAGAATCTGAGTTGAGGCTGTACTTCAGTGAATGCTTCCTCAAACAAAGGCTTATGAAGTTTTCTGGAATAGAAATCAGGAAGAGAATTCCTTGTCAGACCTGAGAAGTAGTCCTTGATTTATCTACATCCCAGCTCTCTTCTGTGTTACTATGTCCTTTGCATATTTTTTTGCCATTGTGTTTATTTCACTGTTTTATCATGATGTGGATTTTTCTGTCCTTCTTCGCTGTAAACTCCTTGAGAGTAGGACAGCGCTTTTATATTTAGGGTTCCAGCAAAATATTTGGCATAAGGTGGGTGCTTATATAAATGCTTGACTTGGGGGTGTCTTTTTCCAGAGTCTATTCACTAACAATAAGCACCACCATTTCTGGAGCACCCATAATGTTTTGTAGCCATACTGGCTATTCTCGGATGTAAAATAGTACTCAGCATATAATAAATGTTAATAAAGTTATCTAATTCAAATAAAACAAGCATCCTGAACACAAGAATAGGTAGAGAGCTTGTTTCTTACTCAAACACAAAGCTCTGTTGCTGCTAAGTCACTTCAGTTGTGCGACCCTATCGTCCTGCGACCCCATAGACGGCAGCCCACCAGGCTCCCCCGTCCCTGGGATTCTCCAGGCAACAACACTGGAGTGGGTTGCCATTTCCTTCTCCAGTGTATGAAAATGAAAAGTGAAAGTGAAGTCGCTCAGTCGTCTCCGACTCTTAGCG